CCACTACCACTACCACTACCACTACTATTATTACTACTACTACTACAACTGCTACTGCTACTGCTACTGCTGCTGCTGCTTCCACTACGAGTACTACTGCTACCACTACTACCGCTACAGTTGCTACAACTACCACTACGACGACGACGACGACGACGACGACGACTACTACTACTACCACCACTACTACGGCTACTACTACTACTACTACTACTACTACTACAACTACTGCTACTACTACTACTACTACTACGACCACTACTACTACTACTGCTACTACTACTACTACTACTACTGCTACTACTGCTGCTGCTGCTACTACTACTACTACTACGACCACTACTACGGCCACTACTACTATTACTATTACCACTCCTACTACTACTACTACTACTACTACTACTACTACTACTACTACTACTACTACTACGGCTACTACTACTCCTCACTACTGCTACTACTACTACTACTACTACTACTACCAATGCTACTGTGTCCCCTTTTGATTCGGCCCCGATACTTCTTTTGCCCACTTCTTCCTCGTCGTCGATTTCGTCTTCGGATTCTGTTTTCAGTGTACCCACAATAACACAATACATAAATTGTCCAGAACTGGGCTCCCATTCTAAAGCCGCACGGAAGCATTCTGTTCGTAACCCACACATGAGAACTCAATGCGTAAGTCGCCCGCGAGATTAACCCCTATGTGGGCCATTCACACATAGACTTCTATGGTGTGGAAGACATCGATTTCTAGCGTGTGGGTTCTGTTGTGGGCATTTTACACGTTGATATCTCTTGTGTAGGTTGCACACATAATCCTCGTATGTGGATGAGGAGGGGGAAAAAAGAAGGAGGACCAATGGACGCAGGGAGAGGTGGAAGACGAGGAGGAGGAGGAAGAGGAACGCGGAGGAGGAAGGGGAGAAAGAGGAAAAGGACTGGAGAAGAGGGAGAGCTTTACAATCGAATTTTCCGTCTTCGTCGCCGGATCCTGTTTGTATTCTTCATAAAAGTCGAAACCAGTGTATAAATCGCCCACACAACGAATCTTATTGTAAAGTCTCACATAACGATTCTGTTTGTCTTCCACACATTAGAGAGCACTTTGCAAATGGCCCATCAAACGGATCGTATTGTAAAGCCGCAGATAAGGATTTCTGTCTGTATTTCACACACACACACACTAGGAATCAATGTGTACATCGCCCACAAACATCTTCTGATTTTCAAAGCCGCACGAAAGGCGAACCATTTCAATTATCCTGGCGGATGACCCAACCATGTGCAGTCGTGAATAACGCGTTGTGGGTACCGCCTTCGGTGGGCCACGCAACGCGTGATAGGGCGTGCCGTAATGGGTGGGGGGGGCGCGAACGGGCGGTGCCACTGGGGCCTTCGCTGGAGTTCCCTATGGGGCCACGAAGCGTTGTATTGGGTGGGTGGGGGGACGCATGCGGGCGGCCCCAGTGGGACCTTCGCTGGGACTCCCTACGGGGCCACGAAACGCTGTACTAGGTGGGGGGGGCGCGTGCGGGCGGTGCCACTGGGGCCTTCTCTGGGCTCCTTGTGGGGCCGCGAAACGGTGTATTTGGTGAGGGGGCGCATGCGGGCGGTGCCACTGGGGCCTTCGCTGGGGCTCCCTATGGGGCCACGAAGCGCAGCACTGAGTGTGGCGGGCGCACGCTGGCGGTCCCACTGGGATTTTCGGTCGAGCTCCTTTATGGGGCAGCGGAACGCTGTACTGCGTGTGGCGGGCGCGTGCGGGCGGTGCCGCTGGCACCTTCGGTGGGGTTCCCTATGGGCCCACAAGGCGGTGTACTGGGTGTGGCGGACGCATGCGGGCGGTGCCGCTGGGGCCTTCGCTGAAGCTCCCTGTGGGGCCACGCGACGTTGTACTGGGTGTGGAGGACACATGCGGGCTGTCCCACTGGGGCCTTCGGTGGCCCTCCCCCCCCAATGAGGCCACGAAGCGCTGCACTGGGTGTGGCTGGCGCATGCGGGCGGTCCCGGTGGGACCTTCGGTGGAGCGTCCTATGCGGCCGCGAAGCGGCGCACTGGGTGTGGCGGACGCATGCGGGCGGTGCCATTGTGACCATCGGTGGGGCTCCCTATGGGGCCACGGAGCGTTGTATTGAGTATTGTGGACGCGTGCGGGCGGCCCCACGGTGACCTTCAGTGGGGCTCTCTATGAGGCCACGAACCGCTGTATTGTGTCTGGCGGGCACATGCTGGCGGCCCCAGTGGGACGCTGGGTGGAGCTGCCTATGTGGCCACGAAGCGCTGGACTGGGGGTGGCGGGCGCGTGCGGCCGGTCCCACTGGGATTTTCGGTGGGGTCCCCATAT